CGGCACCTCTCCCTCAATACCTCCGTTGGAGCCGGGACCAATGGCAGTCTTGGGTTCATCGCCACATCGGCCAAACCTTGCCGTATGAAGTACAGCAACTCCGCAATGACCAAGAGAGCTTTGCTTTCAGCTTATCAAACCCTCACGGTTTACGGAGGAATCCCCTGCGTGGCATTCGCGACCCTGTTGTTCGAGATCTAAGAACAAATCGGAATAATGACTCCTCAATCTTACATTCGTCAAGTATGGGACACCAGGCACAGGCGTTGGCAACATCACGACAGGTAATCCCGAGCTACCTACAGCCCGAACTGGAATTTCAAACATGCCAACCGGTGGAGCAGTATATAGCGAGTCTTCGAAAGCAGATTACAGATGGATGTGTGCAAGTTTTCAAGTCACAAAAATCGCCCATATCTCAGCCGACAAGAAGGCATATCATAAGCTGCTGTGCACCACAACAGGTCATCCAACCAAGACTTGCCCCAATATCACAATCACCTGAACAAGCGAGACCTGCCCCGCCACCACAAGGACCTGGACGAGAGGTTTCTACTTTAGAGCCAAAACTCATTTCCCGATGTCCCCCACGGCGGACTGTACGACTATATTACGTGAGCCGCGGCAGCCAACAGCCAGCTTGTAGTAAAGAAAGCGGACAACAAAGAGCATCTAAGCCAGGTCGACCCGCAAAGTATGCAAGTCGAGAAGAAAAGGCGACGGCTGATAATGCCCGCGCAAGGAACAAGAGGCGAATTCAACGGCAAATTAGCCTTGCCCGACAACTAGAGGACCCTTTCCGATTCTACACATTTCCTCGGTAGGTAATCTGAAAATATTAGGATAACCTAACCCAGAAGAGGATAAGGATAGCATTCACAGCATTGATCTTGGCTAGAATTAATTGATCTCTATTAGCAGCTGTTATTTACCGCCTTAAATCAGATGAATTTCTAGATAGGATATAAACACATATGTGCAGGCAGTACAACATCAACAAGTTCTGTGTAGGGTTCGAGATGGTATACAGCTTCCAAGATCCACATTTTACGACTTGGAAACACACAAGAATTATGCTCATGTTTCTTCGCTGTCTCCAATTCTCGTATACAGGCGGATTGATACAGAAGGCCGCTGGGTGCTGGCGAGACGTACGGCAGCAACCCGATGCAAGTCAGCCAAATGGACTTCGCCGCCACGAAGGTCTCGGATTCAAGCTCACTATGGAAAGGCATGGCTATGCCTGGTTTCTTGACAAGATCGACTGGAGTACGCTTACCTTCCGCCAACCTCATGCACCGTATATGATGTTCAACAACCCATCCATGCAGAATGTGTATCGCGCTCGATACCACCAAGTGCGAGATGTACGGATCGATTTCATTCGAGTGAATAAGGCATACCAGTGGATGCTTGAATTCAGCTCTATCCCCGACTGCCTTGACCTCCTAGAAAATTACCTTCGAGAGCTGTGTCTATGTGCCTTTCGCAAAGACGCTTTCTTCCACGTCAAGTCAGCTCTGAAGCCAGAATATCTGGAATCTGCATTATCAGGAGAGATTCCTCTGTGTTATGATAGTGTTAATAACGCTATGCTGAAGAATC